AGAAAGAAAGAAAGAAAGAAAGAAAGAAAGAAAGAAAGAAAGAAAGAAAGAAGGAAGGAAGGAAGGAAAGAAAGAAAGAAAGCCCCCTTAAGGCCTTGGTATTTTATTTTAGGATTGACCAAAACAAACAAGAAAGCAGCACCTTTAAATTTCACTGCGCATCATTTGCATGTAAAGCTTTTACAAACACTGACCTCATCAAACTAACGCGTTCCCTCTGACTCATTGGTGTAAAAATATTCTCAGATGATTATTCGAGTTTGGCGAGCTGGTAAAGTATATTATGACCTGTTTGGTTTTCTGCCAGGCTGCTTGTTTTCATGACACTAAACTGCCTGAAAGGAATTTTAATTTCAACACTGCACAGGCTCACCTGGACGAATCAAAAAGGTGTTTTTAAATAAAATCCAGAAAGCGTGCACACTGAAATACTTTCACGAGTAACAGTCCTCAACAGATAAACAAAAATACACCAAAAACATTTTTAACATTTAGAAACTATTTGTTTTCACCAGCTGCCATCTCTCAGTTCCACCAAATATTCTGACTCAAACAACATGAGTAATATTTAAAACAACCCTCCCTAATAACATTTAAAAAGGTCACTCTTGGACAAATACTTGTATTCTGACAGCCTGTTCAGGTTTTGCAAACAGAGATCATATAAGGAAACACAGTGTGTGTTAACATATGTGTAGTTTTCCAAGAACAAATATAAACATTTCAGGAGGGTATCCGCTCTTACTTATTGCCAAAAACGTTTCAAACTCTCACTGCATCTTAAAGCGATAGTTCAGATCTTGTAAAGTGAGGTTTCATGGAAACATGAAAAATTAATTTGATGCTTGTTATGCATTTTATATCAATTTTAATTTAGAATTGAATTTTGACTAGGTTGATGAGCTAACCCCTAACCTTAATAGGTCCAGGACCAAAATGGATTACTTTAATATTACTTTAATTTTAAAACAACTCTGAGCTGGTCTTGTAGCTGTTCAAACTTTTTAAAATTAGGACTTAAACTAAGGGTGTATTCAGACCAGGAAAGTCCTTTGGTCCAACTGTTTGGTCCGGACCAAATATGGACTTTATTTTTTTTTCGTTTGGTGCGGTTTGCATTCACATTGTGCTTTTTTGCAAATGAACTATAACTTGTWAACAAAGCCATGAGGCTGACGATCATTGCTCCCATTGGACAAAAAAAGGACGGGGGCGAGACTGAGCCACAGATCCAGAAGAAAACAAGGAAGTCCTGCATGCT